TCTGAGCGATCATCTTTATTTTTAATTGGTATATGTTTTCAACAAGTGAATCATTAAATCACATTTTAAAAGTGGCTGAAATTTTAGCAATTAGGAAATACAATTAATAAAATTAGTATATGAAATCCGGCTAAGCACACACGCTCTTTTTGGTCACCTGCCTATTGCTTTGCCTCATTAGTGGTTGGGTATGGTTTGATCTTTACATATGGATTTAGTGTTGGGCTGAACACTTTCACATCCATAATCTCATGTTGGGAAGGTCTTATTATCTATGTTCTATAGCCCAGAAAACAAGAGCTATTAAATGACTTACCTAAAGTCATAAGGATGATTTGTGGCCAAGATGGAATTTGAACCCAGGTCTTCTGATTCTGCAATTGGTAACCTTTCTACCACACCAAGGAGCCAATTAAGTATGTGACTCTGTTATAGAAATTTTTCTATAAATTATTTTCCACATGAGTTCCGTGTTCTGTTATCCAATGTCACTAAACATAGAGGTATATTCCAGGAGAATTTTAAAAATGTGTATTTTGCCCTGATGATAAAATCACACTTGAGAATATAACATGTCTTTGTAATCATATTTTAAGGAAAATAACCTTTTGATAAACCACTAGCCAAGATAAATTTATCCTATAAATTTAGGCTCCCAGAAATGTTTAGATTATGTTGAGCTGCCTTATTTCATCTTGAAATGAAGAAATAGACAAATAAATCTATCCAGGAGTCATTCAGCTGAAAAAGATGGATGATGAAGCATTAGCAATAAATGCAGATCTAGTACAAGCCCACTCACTGCCTTCCCTCTCTTCTCACACCCTCCCACCCCATCCTCTAACCAGACTGGGCAGGAACGGTAACCCGGGACAGTGGCCAGAAACAGTGGCAGGCTCGGCTCTGGTGAAAGCGAGAAGGCTCAGGCCACCATGACTGAATCTGTAATCTCTACTTCTAAATGGGCAGCTCTTTTCCCCCTGAAATTTACTTTTTTTTGTAATGGGTAAGCAAAAATAAATAATAAACAAAATTCTGCTTTTAGTTGTGGCTCATAAGCTAGATTGGAAAATAAATGTTGGCCATTACCTCATCAGGTATTGTATGGCCTTATTTTTAAACATTCTTTCTTTGAACAAGGGCCTGTTAACAGCACAGAGGCCTGCAGGAGACAAGTTGGGCTAGGAAGTGGATTGCAGCCCGAGGCACTTATTTGCTTAAGAAAAATTGCTGCCAGATGACTGGTTTCAAAAAGCTGAGGCTGCTGGTGTGGTCTTTAGTGGGTAGAGGATTAAAGGGAATGCAGTTTCTCTTTTCTTTCATAAATATTTTCTGGAGAGCTAATGGGTTTCTGTGTGCATGTGTATTTCCTTTTTCTATTGGGGAAATGACAAGTAATACAGGAACATCCTGTGATAAAATACATGAAATAGAGGCTGATGGAACAGCTGGATGAAGTAGAGAGAATGTGCCCCAGGTCTACGGCATGCTGTATTGTGACTAATTCTTGGTATCGTGGATTTTCATGTCTACCAGTGATTAACTACAGTGTGAATGAGGAATGGACAGGACTTAAATAGGAGATAGGTTATTCCATCAGCAGCTTTTAATGTAAAAAAAAATTCATTCCCATCAAAGAGACCATGACTGCTTTCACAAGCTTAAATTTTATTTTATTTTATTTTAAGTTAATACACACCCTAGAAGAATTCCAGTGAGAATAAACCCACATAATTTCAAACATTCATGTGTCTGAATAAGCAGAGCCTTCTATGCATTGCTTAAAATGCTGTGATAAACAACTCTCCCAATTCCTTATCTGCTTATCTAGTTAGATGCCGGCATCAAAGCAGTGAGACTGGGAAGAATTTAATTCTCAGTTTTCAAGCAAAGAAATGTAGGAAAGATCTCAACATGTAATGGTTAGTTCTGCGAAAAATGGGAGTATAGAAATTTCTGAAAACACTAATCTTTGTTCCCATTGTCTTTCCTTCAAAAGGAAGTTTAAATATGGCTCCAAAATAATGGAATTGCCTTATCAACATTATTATTATTATTATTATTTTTTGACCAGTAAGGGTATCACAACCCTTGGCATGGTGTGGTCCGCACCACGCTCAGCCAGTGAGCGCACCGGCCATCCCTATATAGGATCCAAACCCGCGGCCTCGGCGCTACCAGCGCTGCACTCTCCCGAGTGAGCCATGGGTCCGGCCCCTTATCAACATTATTTACCAATCCTTGTTTAATGAAGTTGCACATGAATAAATATTTTATAACCACAAATTATATTTCAAATTATTTACTTGCCACATTTTAAGAAACTGAATTCTCTTTTCTGGAGGTAGAGTCTAAGGAGACTTTTTTGGAGCTTGAAGAAAGCCCTGTTGGGGTAGAACCAATGTAATGGGTTGAATTATGTTCCCCCCAAACTCACTGAAGCTTGAATTGTGTCCCCCAAGTTTTATGTATTAGAAACTTGGTCCTCACTGTGACTGTTAAGAGGGTGGAAAATCCTATTATGGTAATTGAAAGGTGGAGCCTTGAAGAAGTGATTAGATTGTAGGATCATGACATAGTGAATGGATTAAGAATGGTCGTCAAGGGAGTGGTTCTCAGGGCTTTAAGAGAGAGGACAGTCTCTCTGTGCTCTCTCTGCTCTGCCGCCTTGCAATGTGAGACCCCTGGGTCACTGTCATCACCACCACCAGATGGACTTTGGACTTCCCAGCCTCAGAAAGTGTAAGCGATAGGGCTGGCCCGGTGCGCCGCTTGGGAAGCGCGGCGGCGCTCCTGTCCGAGGGTTCGGATCCCACATGCAGACCGGCTCCCGCTCACTGGCTGAGCGAGGCGCGGGAGCAACACCGAGGCTTGCAATCCCGTTGCCGGTCCCCAGTCCGGTACGGGGGCAACACTGAGGGTTGCGATCCGTTGCCGGACACGGAAAAAAGACAAAAAGACAAAAAAAAAAAAAGAAAGTGTAAGCGATAAATTTTGTTTTCTTTATAAATTACCCAGGTCCATGTATTTTGTTATAAGCAACAGAAACAGACTAATACAACCAGGAAGACCCCTCATCCAGCCAACAGAGCCCCACTGGGCCTGTGGGGGAGAGAGGGCAGCAGGAGGGATGAGGGAGGACAGAAAGACAGGCTGGTAGCCCTAGTTCCCCCTTCTCTGTCCCCAGAGACCAGGAGAGAGTGCCAGTGCCAGCCCATTACCCTTGTCCTCTCCATCCTTGAACCAGGGAATTGAATAGCCAACTGGTCCAGTGTCAGGAATCCCCAGACGGACTCTCAGCCTCCTCCCTGCATCTGCTGGACCTCCTTAGAGAGAGCTCTTCTCCTTCTGCCCCTTTCTGAAAATAGCTTTCTCTGCAGATCTGGGCAGTGGAGATGAGACATGGCTGTATCTTTTCTCACTACAACCTAGTTACCTGGGCACTGGGAGCCTGGCGTAGGAGAGCTGTGAGGGCGTTGACAGGAGAGTGCCCAGAGGGGAAAGGTTCTTTCCACAGAGCAGCTCCTGCTTTTTCGGTGTGCATCAGTTCAAGATGCCTTTTGGCTAACTTTTAAAGGTTTTTGTAAAACTTTTAACTGAAATATAACGTGCATACAGAAAGTGCACTCGGTGGATTTTCACAAATAGAAACACCCATGTAATGAGCATCCAGATCAAGTTTATCTTTTCATCATGACTTTCTTTCCTGATTGTAAAAGCACTTGTAGGAATTTTGGAAAGTACAGCAAAGTATAGTAAAGAAAACCAAAACCAGTTATTGTACCTATACCCCCAAATGACCACTGATTATATTTTGGTGTGTTTCCAGTCTGTCTGTCTTGTAGGAATTTTGGAAAGTACAGCAAAGTATAGTAAAGAAAACCAAAACCAGTTATTGTACGTATACCCCCAAATGACCACTGATTATATTTTGGTGTGTTTCTAGTCTGTCTGTTTCCCCGCCTTGCTTATACAGATATATGTGTGCTGTAAGTGCACGCACACAGGACACATCCTCTATAACTGTATGAATGTGTGCACATACACACAGAAGTTTTAATAGTTGCAATAAAATGAAATACAGAATTTTAGATTTTTCACTGTTTGGCTGTTGGCTTCATCAGTAGAACGGCAGGGAAAGAAAGTCAGGGAAATGGAAAACCATCTGTCTCCTCACTTGGGAGCAAAAAAAAGGGCTTCTTGTTGGGGGAGAGGTTGAAATAAATGGCTAGCGTAAAAATATGGATGATTCATAGATTTCATTTATCCCCTATATTTCCATCTTTCAGAAAACTGAGCATTAATGATAGAAAGTTCAAAGACCTCTGGGTAGAGGATCTCTTCAGCAGAAGTGAGACCTCAACTCAGACTTTTTTGGCTACTCTATTGAACCAATCCCCTTCTGGGCTCCAGTTTTACTTTGCCAGAAAGCAACTTTACTTTTTTCTTTCAATTAGGTCTCTTCCAGATACCAAAACAGACTAAAACTGTATCTCCTCTTGTTTTAACAAAAGGAAGTTGAGCCAAAACATTGGAAATTGGCCCAGCGGTTTTTGTGAGTTGCAGCAAAATTATCTTCCTTGTCACCACTCAAATGGACAGAACGATGCTTTCGTCCTGGTTGAGTCTCCTGCACACACTGTTAGGAGAGAACTGTTGGCACCAGGGTCCCATTGCTGTTGGTTGTGCAGGCTGTGCTGTTCATCTGTCTCCTGGCTGGCCAAGGGCTCAGCCTCTGCAGAGAGCTGGATGACATTCTTGTGTTGGGAAAAGTTGTCTCCCTCAGAACTGCCCAGGCCTTTCCTTTTTAAAAGTATATTTTGTTGCCTTACACACTTGTAACTTGAGTTATTACAGAGACAGGAAATGTATTGGAGTCTTTGTATTTGTAAAATGTCTTCTAAGGTCATTCTTTTTTCTTTCCTTGTTGAAAACGTGTTCACCGGCAGGATGAAGTGGGCTTTCTGTTTACGTGTGTTCTTGTTGTATTGTCTTTGCAGTCGAAATCAGCTGTCCTCCCTGCCCGCCTGCCTGTGTGGTCTGCCTCTCAAAGTCTTAATCGCAAGTAACAACAAACTTGGATCACTGCCGGAAGAGATGGGTCAGCTCAAACAGTTAATGGAGTTGGTATGTTACTGTTTTTAAGATGCTCTTTTTTGTTTGTTGACTGATGGTGGCCTATCAAGGTATCCAGGAAGACTTTTCGCTGCAGTTGGACGAGAAGGAGCCTAAGTTGTTTAAGGGAAGTATATGATAAAGGCATTAAGTGAGGAGAGGACTTCGGCTTTGCTGTGACAGGCACAGTTCCTGAAATTTACAGGTTTCCTATAGCTTACAGTTCTTGGAGTTTACAGGATTGACAATTCCTGAAATTTACAGGTTATCATATTATAGTTAGATAATTTTTTCAGATTAACTATAAATTTATGAAAAATTATGGCTAAAATATTATGGCAAAGTAATCTATCAATAAGTTAGTAGGCCACACTTTAAAAAGGTATAGAAATAAATCAGAAAATCAAAAGAGCAGAATGCTCTGATTCTGTAAAAATTTTAAAAAATCATTGTTCCAAATCGATGTAACTTTAGAATGTGACCATATCCCCAGGGATAAAAAAGAACAAGTTACAGAGACAGGTTACACGTGTGTGCCTGAGGCCAAGATACACTGTTCTAGTTCAGCTCTTTCACTTCTAATTTAATTATTCACCATGGTTTTAAAATGGGGAAGAATGAATCCTTTCTAGGCTTCTGCTGAGCTAAGAGGGGTGAATGAAGAGGCAGGAGTGAGCAATCAGGCTAAAACATAATAGTCATAGCATATTCTCCAAGCAAGCTTTTATTCCACTCTGACCTTGTGTCATGCACAGCGTCTGTGTGATTAGAAGAGTGTGAAGGACATAGCACCTGCCCTCGAGTAGCCTCCAGCCTAAACCGTTGACGGCTGGTAAGTTTTGTCTTGTGTGCTGACTCCTTTGGGGCCACCTGGAGCAGCATGGTGATAGCCTGTGAGGCCCAGATAGGGAGTGCTGTGATCACCTAGTCCTGTCTGCAGCGGGAAATGGCAGCACCTATGTCACATATGTCTTCACTCTGACTCTAGTATAGAAATGAGTAATTGTTACGTAAAGGCATTAGAGCTATAAAAAGTATCTTTTTCAGACAGTGATAGCACTGTCTGAAACCCATTCCAACTAGCTCACACCAAAAGACAGGGCTCGTTTTAAGGATGCAGGGGTCTGTCTGTTGGATCACTCAGTGTCAGGACATTTGGTCATGGACTGTGAGTGATGAGAACGAGACACTGGACAGTTGCCTGGGACCATGCAGCAGTTTGTCTTCCTACTCAGCTTTCTCTGCTTCTCCATTCGGTAGCAGAGGTTGCCTAGCCCACAGATGCCAAGTTTAAATGTCCTCCCAGCTAAAGCACTGAACAGAGATCTGTTAGCATCTGTTGGCCCTGGTTCCCGACAGGCAAGATCTGGGTCTGATGTCCTCCCTTGACCCAGTTAGCTGTTCCCAAGACAAATGGTCACATTGCCTCTACATGCTGCCACTACAGGGGCAATTCTGGAAGAAGACAGATAGTAATGTAGGCACTCCCTGTCTCTCCCCCCTACAAAGTTTCTGTTATAAGCACTATGCACATGAGGTAGGGAAAGACCAATTCAGTCTTGGGATTGAGAAAGGTTTGCAAAAGAAGAGACCTCTGAGAGGCCCCTTAGATAAGTCTGTGTGGTGTTTCCTAGATGGAAAGAAGAAGGCGGGGATGGGGAGAGCATTCAAGGCCAGAGGGACAGCTTGTCCAAAGGCAAGATGGCCCTGCTAGCACGTGGCATGCTTGGGGAGTGGGAAGCAGCGTGGTCCTGCTGGAGTCTGGGGAGAATGGGGCCAGCTCTTCCGTCCTCACACCCTCTGCCTTAGCTTTAGGCCACCATCAGCTCCTTCACAGGCCAGTAGAGGCTCTCCGTAGTGTGGCTCCTGCTCACCTCTCAGGTTCATTTCTTGCCGCCGGCCCCTCCACCCTCTAAGTTGCAGCCTTCAGGGAATGCACCTTGTCATTCTCCCTTCTGTGCTTGTGCACATGTCACTCTTTCTACATGGGCTGCTTCTTCCTTCCCCTCCTTTCTTGGTCAGTTCTTAACCAAGTTAGATGTCACTTCCATTAAAAAGCCTTCCCAGCGCCTCCAAACCTGAGTTAGATGCTCCTAAGCCAAGCAGCCTGTACTTATCCCTGAATTTTCATAGAATCACAGTTGTTTTCTTACTTGGCTTTCTGTGTGCCGGCTCCCCCCACACCCTGAAAGCTGCTTGAGGACAGGAACTTCATCTAACTTGCTGTTGAATCCTGGATGCCTGACATGTGATAGGCACCCAGTAGTGCTTGCTGACTGTTGTTACTGAATGCTGGAAAGTGGACCTAGAAAGATGGGTGGGGCAGGCTGTGGAGCCCTTCAGGTGCTGTGCCTGGGTGGGGCTGGAGTGGGGACACTATCTTGCAGTCCAAGTAATTCAGAAGGTGCCATTTTAACTGGCTCCATGAAATAAAAAGTATAGAATAATGTTTTGGATGAAACTGATAGTCATATGCTGCTTTTTTTTTTAATGTTTCCTTTAGGAGTCTGATAAGCCACAGAATTCATGGTTGCTAAAATTTGGATTAGGTCTTGCAAATACAATACAAATAAAATTTTTTTAAAAAATAGACTTTATTTTTTAGAGCAGTTTTAGATTTACAGCAAAATTGAGAGGACAGTACAGAGATTTGCCATGGACCTCTTGTCCTCACACATGCACAGCCTCCCCCATTGTCAACATCCCGCACCACAGTTACAATTGATGAACCCACGTTGACACTCCATTATTACCCAGAGTCCATAGTTTACTTTAGGGTTCATTCTTGGTGTTGTCCATTCCATGGGTTTGGACAAATGTATAATGACATATATTCACCATTATATTATTATACAGAGTATTTTCAGTGCCCTAAAAATCCTCCGTTCTCTGCCTATTCATCCCTCCCTCCACCCTAACCCCTGGCAACCACTGATCTATTTGCCGTCTCCATAGTTTTGACTTTTCTAGAGTGTCACATAGTTGGAATCATACGATATGTATGTATGTATGTAGCCTTTTCAGATTGGCTTCTTTCACTTAGTAATATGCATCTAAGATTCCACCATGTCGTTTCATGGCTTGATAGCTCATTTCTTTTTAGCACTGAGTAATATTCCATTGTCTGGATATACCACAGTTTATTTATGCATTTCGCTACTGAAGGACTACTTGATGGCTTTCAAGTTTTGGCAATTATGACAAAGTTTTTTTTTCCTATCTCTTGGGTTCCTATGCAGATGGGGAGCACACTGATGGGGTCAGTCCTCTGGAACCTTTTGGCAGCTGATGTGTGTTTCTGTCCCACTGAACCCTGGGCTTAAGTGACACCATGTACTGTCCATCAGCTGTGCTGCTAGAGATCTGGACCAGCTCATCAGCTAGCAGGTGGTATGTGTGCTGAGCTCTGGAGCCAGCCCCACACTAGAGCAGGACTTTGCTCAAATACTCTTCGTCAGCTGCAGGGCTGGCACGTGTAGAACAGTGCTGGTTTCAACCCCAGGACACACGAGCTGCTGGGTGGTTTAAGGGGCACCCCAAGCTTTCTTTGGTACCCTGTCCTGAGCCCAGCTCTAGCGAGGGCTGCCTGCACCTTAGATACTGCCCTGTCATCACCTGGTCCTTATGCATTTTTTCCCACCAGCAATAACTATTGAACCCTCAAGTCCTAGAATATTAGAGCCACAGGGGATTGAAAAGGCATCTAGTCCAAGCTCTTGACATCTTGCAATGAAGAAACCAAGTCAAAGAGACAGTGGGCAACGTATGGGAGGGTCACCCGGGTGTGGCTAAGTTGTAACCTAAGCTGAGACATCCTCACCCACCACTGTCCAGGGGAAATATAATGTAAGCAGCAAATATGATTTTAAATGGACTAGTAGCCATATTTAAGAAAGTAAAGAGAAGCAAGTGCAATTAATTTTAATATTTTTTTAACCCCAAATATCCAAAGTAGTGTTACTTAACACATATACAGTATAAAACACATTAATGAAATATTTTACATTCTTTTTCTATCTTAAGTCTTTGAAATCCAGTGTGTATTTTACACTGACAACACGTCATAGCTGGGACTAGCCACATTGCTGGGGCTCAGCAGCCACACGTGGCTTGTGGCCACCCCGCTGGACACGACCACTCTATAGCCTGTGCTTTTTCTGCTTTACTGCCCCCTGTGTATGAGCAAGCACAATCTTTGTAAAAAGCATTTATCTGTGAAGTTGGTAAAAATTTAATGAGTTACCATTATTTAACTACAGGGAGGGACTGGTCTCGCTTAAGGTCACAGACTAAAAAAAGATTATTTTCCATTCATTCTTATTTATCTTTCATATCTTTTTGCTTAAAATAGTAGTGTTGCTATAGGTAACCACGTCAGATATTTTTAGTTATCAATTGGGGAAAAAATTTCCCAGGGGAGCTTGAAGTAATTCTAGTATTACAGTGGGAGGCTTCTGTTTTGCAGTCACATAATAAGCAATCTGTTGAAATATTTGGGAACTTCCCAGGCATTCAAAATACCTGAAGCCGGGCCGGCCCTGTGGCGCACTCGGGAGTGTACGGGGATGGGAGCGAAGTGACGCTCCCGCCTCGGGTTCGGATCTTATATAGGACTGGCCAGTGCACTCACTGGCTGAGCGCGGTGCGGGCGACACCACACCAAGGGTTGTGATCCCCTTACCGGTCACGAAAAAGGCACAAAAAAAAAAAAAAAAAAAAATACCTGAAGCCACCTAGTGCTTCAGTGCTGATAAAATCTCTAAGTTTATTAGGATCTAAGCATTTTTTATTAACTGTTTGGGAAGAAATTTTTAAAAATTTGTCACATCAGACTGAGAGTATCCCAAATTGCGTTGTACACTCTCCTTTCCTGCAGGTGTGAACAAACATTCCAGAGTCAGCATTCACTTAAAAAAACAGAAGGAAAAACACTGTAGCCCTCTAAAAGAAAACAGTTCTCTTCCCTAATTTTTGAAAGGAGTTAGAGTTGGAAAATAATTTCTGACATTTTA